TTCTTACACTAGGAAGACAATATGATGTTTACACATGTGAGTCTGATTTATTTCACTTATGAGTATGGTCTCTAATTGCATCCATTTGCCCATAAAAGCCTAGAGTTTGTCTTTCTTTATAGCTGAGTAGTACTCCATTGTATAAAATATATGAAAAAATGTTCAACATCATTAGTCATTCGAGAGATGCAAATTGAAACAACACTGAGGGGGCTGGGGATTTAGCTCAGCGGCAAAAAGCGCCTGATGGCAAGCGCAAGGTCGTGAGTTCGGTTCCCGGCACCGGAGAAAAACCAAAAAAAAAAAAAGAAACAACACTGAGATTCCATCTCACCCCAGATGAACGACTATCATCAAAAATCAATGATAACAAATGTTGGCAGGGCTGTTATGAAAAAGGAATCCTCTACTGCTGGTGGGAGTGTAGACTGATGAAACCACTGTGGAGATCAGCCTAGAGATTCCTCAGTAAACTAGGAGGTCCCATTTAACCCAACTGGTCCCCTTCTGGGTATTTTTCCAGAAGAACGGAAAACATCATACCTCAGTGATATATGTGGTCTCATGTTTATAGCAGTGCAACTTGTAATAGGTAAATCTTGGAAACAACCCAAATGCCCATCAACTGAGGAATGTTTATAAGTTTTTATATTTTCCATTTTATTAGTATATGCACAAAAGTTTTCAATTTTAGAAATGTACATGGATGACATTTGTATTTATTATATTAAATGTTTATAAGAAGAGATTATTGCCTAAAATTTTCAGAAATGGAAATTGTGGTTCAGGGAGGTAAAGTAAAGCTTCTTTAAAATCTCAAAATCCAATTAATTATTGGAGAGTAAATTATTTGTTAATAACTCTGGCCTCTATGAGACACATTCCGAAGGAGCCACTCTCACGTACAAAGCATACAGACAGGGTGGAGATAAAAGGTCTCTGTCACAGGGTGCTAGCACCGCACCCCTTTTACTAGACCCAGCATTTATGCAAGGACGTGGTCTTCCAGGCTCTGTTGACTTCTAAGATCCGGGATTCTGCTCTCCTCTACTGATCTAGAGTACGTGACTGGTCTGTGGTAACTTCCAGAATTAGCTCCCAGTGAGTCAACAATGAGGATTTTTCAGACATTGATCTCTTCTTTACTTATCAGACATTCAATGATTCCCGCACCTAGTTAAATCTATGCACCTTCTGAAACTTATTAATGCTTAGATTAAAAAAAGTGATGTGTCTCATATCCATTATGCTACTGTTAATGATAGAACACAAATGTGGATAAAATGGTGAACTTGTTCAAAGCTAAATTTTTTAGCACCCTGTAAAAATTGTTCTAATCTCTCTCTGTCTCTTTTTGTCAGTATTTATTTTAATTTCCCAAGCTCTACTTATAATAATAGTCTATGTGATTCCTATGATTCTTTTTTCTATTTTAGTTTGTTTTTCAATTTAACAAGAAATATACAGGAATAAAATATACACACAAAGAAGGTGAATAATAACCTACAGTAGCCTATTGAGAAATAATGATTTGCATTATTCTTTGGTGGCCTAGAAACCCACAACTGTTCTTCTCCTTGTAATAAGGCTTTCTGTAAGTAACTCAAAATAAACTGAATATTCATCCAACAAACTAGCCCATCCTACACAAAATAAGCTAAGTATATCAGTCATCTCACCAAAATATTAAATTTAATTTAATAGAAATCAATATTAAAATGGTATAAAGTCTGTGGCAAATAGGATGTTAATTATTGTGCATGTTTTCTATATGTGTTCAATGTGGAAGATGTATTCGATGAACAGTAAAACATCAAATATTTCATATTTGCAGGAAACTTAAATCTTTTTCTCAAATTGACTTACCACATGACCGAATCTACCAGAGCTTATGAAAATTTATTACATTTCATCTTGAGTCCCATTTGGGGAAAAACACACAGTTTCTCCTCAAATTATAACTCACAAAGCTACTGCGATTCCCTATGCACAATCAATACTGATGAATAACAATGAAAGGAAGCTCTTCCCTGGACCTGGCATGACAGCGCCTTCAGGGAATCCGTAGGTTATCAGGGGAGCCACAGTTTCTTGCTGGGAACATAGACCGCTGTGCTCAATCCAAGGTTTTGGTGAACTAAGGTTTGTTCAGTAAGCTCTGGCTAATTTCCTTTGGGAAATCAGCTCAATGAAATCCACACGTGGCTTTCAATTTTTGGTTTTTCAAGGGGCAATTTCACAAAATTAACACTCTGTGAACTTTGCCACCAACAGGGACATAAACACAGATATTCTCATTCACATACCCACACACCTTGGAGAACAACTGTGTGTGTGTGACCTCAGAAGGAAGCAACACAGTTAACATGAAATACAATCAGTGCAAGTGAACACCACCAGTATGAAACGTACTTCCTCATAGAACATTTATACACGTGTGAACTGTCAACCCTGTGAAGCGGGAGAGGAAGAAGACAAAACCGGTTGTTTAAAGTCATTTAAAAACACTGTTAAGTCCAATTTTTTTTTTAATGTGAGAGAAGTTAATATATCTGCAGCAGTATTTCATCTGCCTGACATTAATTCTGAAATGGTCCCATGTAATGATTTAGAAAACACTTCTCTACCTTGCTTTTTTTTTCCACTTTTCAGTTTTTCCTTCACATTTACTTACTTAAGTTAAAGTGATGAACCGAGTCTTCTGTGCTATGTATTTTGAGGTCTCTGGCACCCTAGACAGCCATCAACGTCCTTACCTCATCTGGTAGGATCTGCCTCCAACTTCCCTGCTCCCATCTGTGTGAGAGCACCATTCCGCAGGGATCTCTGACACATCTGCCCATCTGTGAGCAGAAGAAGCAGTAGCCTCTGCTCCTAACCACTTCTGTACAATCTTGGAAGACAGAAATAGTTCTTCCTGTGGAGGACAGGGCAGATTTGCACACAGTCCAATCTAGTAACAATGACGATTTAGAAACCGAATGTCCTGAACACAGGGTGTAGGGCATAAGCCCAGTATGTGTAGGTGTCACCGGCGCTCATGCTCTAGGAGCTGGAACATACAGGAAAGATGCAAAGAAACCAAAACTTGCTGGTTGCTGTATTACTATGTGTAATAAGCTTCGTTTGTCCTGTCTCTGTCGACACTGATGAAAGCTGAAGCCCTTCTTAGTTCTTGACATCTCATTATCTCCATTTCTGTCCTTTTGATTATGGGCTAGATTCTCTTCTCTATGTAGACCCTTTGATGGTGACTTAATTGGGTTGATGTGCCTATCTTTCTATTTAGTTTGTCTCCAGGTTTCTGCCTCCTTAACTTGATGTTTCTCGGTCTAAAGTCCTCACATGTCCAGGGAAATGAGAATCAGATTAAATCAGAGGTGACAAAGAGCTAGAGTCAGAGGATAAAAACAAGAATCTATAAATACCAAGGAACGTAGAGAATATGTATGGAATATGAGCCCATGGAAAGCTACACAGTGGTGGGTTTTCAATGCCATCCCTACCAGAGACATCCTTTTAAAGGAGTATTGCATCTGTGACTGAAGATGTGTGCATAGCTAGGCTAGATGTTTGGCTTACTGGACAGCTTCAAATCTTTCTTTATTTCTCAGGTCTCACTGCTAAAAATAGCGCTCTTTAATTGCCTTATTTGTTCCTTATTAACCCCCCAGGAATAAAATTAGTAGACACATATTCACAGAAATGTGGTCATCGATAAACTGCTCTGGGACATTTTTGTGTTTGTTACCTTTTATTTCAGAAAGTTCCAAAGCCCCATAGCTCTCCAAAAGACTGCTGAGAATCAGTAAAAACTCGTCAAAATGCAACCACCCAGGCCAAGCACAGCAAGAATTCTAATTCAGTAGGGTGAGTGGGCCCAGCAATTTCCCACTTGTGATGAACTTCTCAAGCAGTTCCACTAAGGCTTGTCTCAGAGCACTGAAAGAAACCCTGCCCTAAAAACCACTTCCCTCATCTAGCACCACGCAAATGTGCTCAGTCTGATAGAGACAGCTCAACGTGAAGTGCAGAAATTAGTCACTGACAAATATGAGCTGATGACAGTGATTTGCTCTGGCAGAGAACTCCGCTGCTAGGAGTGTTTTGAAAGTTATTTTTTGGCCCTGGAGACTGAAAGATTCTCATTAATGTGAAATAACTGATTAGTTTTAGCATCTCTGGATACATTTGAGACAATCCCTTCTAACCTCTGATATAATACTATGTCTACATTATCACCAAGCACCAGATATGCATAAATATATAAATGGAATTAAAAAATGGAGGATATAGCTTGGATACATATTTTTTGCAAAGTACTGACATACCAAAGGTATTTTGTTTGAGGATGGGCATAGGGACATATTTTAAAGAAAGACTATCAGGCTATTTTTGAAAAATAGAGACTGGTCATTGCTGTTGAAACAGTAATCCTGAAAGATTGTTTATTGCAACACCTTGGGGCATTTAAATAAAGAATATAAAGCAATCGCATCGATAGATCCGCAGACATCTAGCATAACTTTCTAATTATAGTCTACATAGGGAAATTCCTTCTCAATTTTCTCAGTCTTAAATTGTCCAAGTAATACAAGCATCACAGTACAGGTCTCTTTTTAGAGATCAGGTTTCTTCATGAGGCTTGATTGGTATTTAAGCACATAAACCTAATTCCAGTGTCCTCCAGGTAAAAGCCATTGGGGAAAGAACCGTGCTTACTTTAGATATAAGGTCACCACTCTGTAGAATGTTGGAGACTAGAATGATGTTGGAATTGTGCAAATCTACACATGGAACTGAATTCCTGTAGGATTAGTTGGGACAGTTAGTGTTACATCAAACAATTCAGTTCATATTTCAACATGTGCATGTTTTCACTGTCCATGGGTAATATTAAGCCATAGACCACCTCTTAGGAAAACAGCAGCACCAACTTCACACAACCGGTGTTTAATCTTTTCTCTGAAATTATTCTGAAAAATAATATTGAGACTTACAGTTTACGACAATTTTTACTTTCTTCACGTCGGGGAAGGACACATCATTTTCTGCACTGCATTCGTATTCCCCAGCCTGGTCCCTTGTAATTGAGTAAATGTCCAAATATTGTCCACTGTCAAATGGTTTTGCTACAGAAAAAAGAAACAGCATGTTAAATTGTAGCTGCCTGAAGCTTCATTCAAGTAAAACAACAATCACATGAGTTCTTACTAGAGATTGCTGACAAAACAATTCCAATGAAACTGGGGAATTATTAAACCCTTTGTTCTTCTATGTTCACAGGAAAACCCCAAGAAAAAAATCAGTAGCAGAACAAGGGATATTATAACAACTGTTTCCCCAGAACAGGATATACATGTGTTCCTTTTAATTGATTGTGGTCCTGTAACCTCCTCACACATCAAATAGAGCTCTGCACATTTCTGTAATTGAGTTCAACAATCTTCTACCAGTGTAGATGAAATTCACTAATATGACTTGGTACATATTGACTTTTATACAATGTGAGGCAGCAACTTGACACCTAACCTAGCTAAATGTTACTTTTCTTTTGAGGAAATCTATCCATACTCAAGCTTTTGAGCCAGATGGCTTGATAAGAATATACAGATCTAAAAAATCATCGCCATATTTCTGTTTCCAAGAAAGTTACACTGTAAGCGCTGTTCAAAGCCATCCAATAAAATTTTAAAAAATTCTTTATTTCTTTCAAATGATGAGCTATCAAATTATTAAAAAGTCATCTTTACTTTTTGGTATTCCAGGAAAAATGTTCTATTTCACTAAAAGTAACAATAGATTAAAAGCATAAAGGCATAATCACAAATGAAAAAATATCCCCAGTGAATGAGATTTTACATAAAGACTCCTTTCCTTAATCATGGAAGTTTTTATTTAATTGAAAGCACAGAGCCATGGCAAAGGATCTTGATTATCAGAGAAATAGCACAGGAAAATTGGGCCTTTGTGAATTTCTCGAGCAAGGGCCCTAATCCCTCTTGTCGCCAGCCCAGGGAAGTCCCGTTTCAGTGTGGACCCAAGCGAACTGGAGAGGGAGCAATGACTTCCCTGAATGAACTTTTTCTGTAAGTCAACGATATTTGTGTCATCATCCTACTTTTTTTCAGGAAAAGTTGTAACAATACAGAAGCTAGAAAGCTAATAAGAATATCTCATTTTAGTAAATCAAGTAAGGTAAAGTTTAGTCTGGCTTTCCAGACTGAAAATCTTTGCCAATTAATTTTTTTTCCCCCTTGAATTCCCTGGCCTGGGTCCATATATTATCTGTTGCCAGTCTACCATTTAACTAGTCCAGGCAACCTTGAGTTTGCTAACAAAAACCTTGAATGTTTAAAATATATAGAAATAATTTTTTATTTCTCTTTATCTAGCTGATCTCAAGTGGTAGATAGGGGAGAGTGAACCCGCTATTGTATTTGACTGATAACTATTTCAAGTCTCTGGATGTAAGCTTACAAAAATAACTTTTATTTTCACTGTTCAAATTATGAAGATTTTAGAATTTTACATTTAGAATCATTCTTCTATCCCATCACTTTCCTTCAGTAAATAATACACTGTTTAATATCTATTGTTCTGCTTTTTTTCTCTTATTTTCACCCCTATGAAAATACAGTCTAGTTTTATATATGTCTGCAAAAAAACCTGTTAAATATAAAAAATTGGATTCTTACTCATATCTAAGAATTTTTAAAGTGTAACTTGAATTATAAACTAGGAAGAATGTTAACTATAATGTAAAGTATGGGTAGCAATAATATATTACATCACAATTGAATGATCTCATTGGGGAGCACACAATGAAACAGTCACTAGTGCCAAAGTACACTGCTGTGACTTCTATAAAAATGAACTTATTAGGATTTAACATATTTTTCAATATTAAAACATTACTTGTGCATTCCTGTTTTTGTGAATTGATACCATTGCTCAAATTCATACCTTTGATAACAGGCATGTACCATAATCTTCTTGGACAATAAAGTACGGTATTATTTAATCCTTAAGTAAATAATTAAATGTGATGGATATGAGTGTATGTATCACTGTTTTTACTCATTCAGTGTGGCAGAAATAGGGACAATAGCGTTTAGAGTTTTAAAATGTAGGAATAAACGTAGCTATATATCTAGCAAGAATCAATAAATATAATGAAAAGTGAGAAACAATAGGAACATTAAGAAGAGCTAGGATTTTTTTTCTGGTCTTCAGAAGGCCTCATAGCACACTCAGAATGGTTGAGAACAATTGCAAGAAGCCATAGAACAAAATCTTACCTATGTTAGGACCATCACATAAGGTAACTCTAAAGAGTTATGTAAAGAGCATCATTCGTATCCATCAGGTATTTGTGACTGGAGCTGACCGTATGATTTGCCTAACTCATACTTGTGATTCTTCTCCAACCCTAATATAGACACAAGTCTGTATTTACAAGTAAAAGAATGGCCAGTGAATGGTTATTCATTGCATGACCATAACCAAATAGCTATAGAGCCAGCAAATGGATGATTTTTGTCATCAATATCAATTGTATAGCTATAACATAAAGCCACTTAAGAGAAGAAAAGTGTAAATGCACAGCCAACCTCTTTTTCACCCACCAGACTCCTGGTGTTTCCATTCAATGTGTACCAGTTCTTTCTAAAGGTTGGCAAATGGCATTCTACTGTTTTTACATGAATAATGCTCTTTCCCTCCTGAATTAATCCTTCCTCTCTTCTCAACCCATTCTTACCAGAACTGAATTGCAGATTTTAAATTTAGAGTTGCTTTACCCAGGATAGAAACTCTGAAGTTCACTAGTTGTCTGTAATTTCTTCAGCTGCCTCTTTGATTTTACTTGTCCTCTGCTATTCTTTAGTATTAATTCTTTAATTTAGTTCTACATTCAAGGAAGCCAATCCTAGTTTTAGAAACTTGGTTAATATTGGCCTCTTTTTACTGCTCTTTAATAGGAAAGGATTTAGGTCTAGGACACTGAAAGGCAAGATAGAACATTTCAGTTCAGATATGCTATAGAAATCAACCGATCCCACCAGATGGAAGAAAAGCTCAGGGTGAAAGGATACCGAGAAGTAAATACAGGACATCCACCATCTAACCCAAGACTGCGGTGTTTCTAAAGAGCAGGGGCTATCTCAGTGTACCTTTTATAAGTCTAGCCATTGAGATATGTTCTATCTCCCATGGTGCAAGTTATAAATGGATAGAAGCACACTAATATATAATAAGTCCTATAATAAGTCATAGATTTTACCGTTCTCCACCAATGTAACTGCAACTTCTATTTGGTTTATTTTGTGTTTCTAATTCTCACATAATAAATAAATAAAACATCATGTACTTTATAAGTATTTATTGAACAATTAAATAAAATGATAAATTAATTAATACAGCCCTGTGCAGGAAATGCTTACACATAAAGAAGTTGCCACTTCTCTTTCAGAGCTGTCAAGGAAAATAATTTCAAAAACAGGTGTCATCTTTACTGACATCTCGAAATGACAGGTGGTGGCTTGATGCGAACAAAGTCTGCAGTTATCATAGATCCTTTTCAGGAACCAGACCAACAAAAAGACCAGACCAACAAAAAGATTAAATACAATTGAAGCAGTTTTTTCTTGTGTATTTCTCTTCCAAGCTGAGATAGACTTTTCTTAAAAAATGGAGAACTAAAGAAATTTCACCTTTCAGTGATATCAATTTAGTGACATCCTTAGAAAAATTCCTTCAAAGGGATGTTAAAAAATAGGGTGCAGGTATGCTTTATAATGGCTTTTTATAATGATTTCTCTATGAATTTGAACAGAAAAAGTTCTATGTCAACTACTGAACAATATTAAGATTGGGCTTTATGATTTGGTAAGGCATTTGACTAGTCCTTTGTGTTGCATAAAAACATTTTTGTAGTGGCATCGAAATTTATATGTTTCAGAACAATATTTTCAAATAAAATCTTGCTTTCTTCAGCTTCTAAGACATTGTTCTTCACTAGTTTTCCTTTCATCTCTTTGTTCAATTTCTTTTCACTTGTACAAAACCCTGGGCTGGGGATATAGCTCAGTGGCACAGCCTCTTTCTTGACAAGCTCAAGGTCCTGAGTTTGATTCCTGGTACCAAAAAGAAACCAAAAAAAAAAAAAAGAAAACTGGTACAAAACCCATCATATGTGCATATTCCTTAGATCTTATTTCTCCCACATGCTATCTTCTTATTATTAAGTTTATTAGTAGCATGTAGATATAGATAATGATCACATTCATCATAGGGAATTTGTTCCTGTACACTACATGTCTTGATTCCTTTCATTTCCCATTCCCCTCCCTTCCCTTCACCCTCTTCCTGTCTTTATTTACAAAGCTTTGTTTCCATTTTGTCCTGTTTTTCTCATTTTTTCTTTTCCCTTCCTTTTTCCCCCCTCCCCTCTTCCTAGTTCCCCTTTCCTTTTGAACAATTTCTTCCTATTTCACAATATCTATTCACATTTTTGTTCCTATTTACTCTTTCTGTTTCTCACTCCAGAGAGAATCGATAGCTTCACTCAGTATATTCTTTCAAGGGGTGTTCTTTCTTCACTTATATTTCATTACCTTCTCTGTATTGATGAGTGCCTGGGCGATCAGTTTAGACTCTGTCTGCATCTTGAATCTTAGACACATAGTTCCAGTGCCCCTGCCCCACTTGTGGACTCATAGTACCTCCACATCAACACAATCAAAATCTCATCTACCTTTTCCCACCACATCTGCAGCCCTTCCCCTGTTCTTAACCTCCATGAACATTTTCATCACCGTGTGGATGCTCAAGCCAGAAGCCTTAGCCTGAACACCACCCATTAGTGTGTCCTATCAGTTTCATGCCCAAGGAAATCTCAAAGCTGTTTGGAAGCTCCTGTCTCACTGGTCTTCAGAAGTACATGAAATGTACTAAAGGTGCCATGTTGCTTCGCAGAGTCCTTTCCATCATTTTACAAAAGCTTTGTTCAGACAGTGTAATCACACTTTTTGAGGCATCCATGTAGAAAGATACAGTGTAAGTGTACCATAGCCACTTATTACTATATTATCCTGTAACTCAATTGATAACCTGTACTTGGAATGGTTTA